CGGCACTTTACTGTACAAAAGACATGAAGGCATTGGAGACGGTGCGGAAGAAATATTTAAGAATGGTTTGATGACAATAGATGTCAGTTATATGGGTGGAATTATCTCTGAGAAGAGAGAGTTGAGGAAAGGATTTTATACAGATGGTAAAAGGTATGACAGCTTGAGACAGAGTAGATACAGAGAAAATGTTCACATTTGTGGATAGGTCAAGAACCAAAGCACTCTAGTTTAAAACAATTGACAATAGAAACAGAGTTAACATGAGGAAACTTATTTTTCACAGCAAAACGTTTGGTTCTGGAATGCAATAGCTTAGAGTGTGGTGGAGGCAGAATTAGTCATGTACTTCAAAATGGAACTATATAGTTATGTGTAAACGAAAAAAATTGTAGGTCTATGGTGAAAAGTAAGGGAAGGTGGATTAGCTGTGTAGCTGATACAGAGAGATGGCATAGACATGATGAGCTTTACAGTTTCCTTCCATGCTGTAACCGTTCTATGATGCTGTATAGCTTACATGGACTACTCTTAGGCAATTGATACATTCATGAGAGTTTTAACTAAAATTTGTGAAACTAAAGACAAATTATTGACCCTGATTAGGAGAGGTTAAGTGAGCCAAATGACAACATTTTCTGCTAAAGCCCATCAATTTAAGATTATAAATCATGTATGTAATAGTTTTATGGTAGTACAGAATTTAGAAATTGCAAAAAGGGGACAGGCAATCAGAGGTTCCATACTGCACTCATCCGAATAGGACACAAGAACTTGAAAAAGGGACACCAATTGATACAGCGTGAGGAGAGGGTGCTGATGAATTGGGCCATCATTGACATGGAGTTGCAGTTAACTATCAATCTGAGTACTCAGGCCAGACAGTTAGACTCTAAATAGTCAGGGTGTTATCATGGGGATGTAGCATGGATTGGTTTTCATAACCCCTTTTCTTTTCCCATGAGAAAGGTACAATGTGTGTGCACATTTCTTTTGCCAATATAAAGCAGGGTCCTCTTTATATAAATATATTTAACTTCTAATTGACCAAAAGTATCATACTTTGAGCCTGACCGATAATTATAAATTGGTTTTTGGTTTCTTAGCACAGCCCAGATTATTTAACAAATGATTTTCAATAGTAGGCTAGCTGAAAATTTTGACCATTTGGCCAAGCCAAATGCGGGAGCTTTAGAGGGGAGACAAGTGGCTGTTGAAGATTAGAGATAATTTAGTAAAAGGTTTGTTCATTTGAAATCAGTTATGCAGATGAAAATACTTGTCTTTGGTCTCCTAATATTCCACATTCCCAAGGAAATTAGATCTCATGGGTGGAATAGTTAGTTTCATTATATCTGGTTACATACCACACTCACCTGGATTTACCTTGATTGCCTTACAGTTTCAGGAATGAAATTCTCAATTCTTTCCAAAATTGGTCACTGTATGTTTTTACATGTCATTGCATTCCCCAAGATGGGATTTATTAGATACATTAGAGGTGATACATGAGGTTCCACTCTCAAATGGGTAGGGACTGTTGGTCTTTTCTACCCTGTGTGTACAGGAAAATGGTAAGCAAGGTAGAAAAGAGAAGAACAGTGAATAGAATAACCTCTCCAAAGTTACAAACAAACAGAAATTGCTTGAGAAACTTAGCAGTTCTGGCAACATCTGTGCGGAGAAAATAGACTCAACATTTTGGATCCAGTGATCCTTCCTCGGAACTGCTCTTTTACTTTGAAACTGTCTCTATGTTGTATAAAGTTGAGTTTCTAATATTCAAGTAGCTGTATTCTTCTGGTTATCTCAAAGTCACAAGAGGTGAACAAGAAAACTCAGTTAGCAAGTTTCTAACAGTCCAAAGATTAAACATATAAATGAATTAACATTTCCATAGCTGGTATGCAGTCCAAGCTGTATTTTCTTTCAGTCCTGTTTGAGATACTGTTCTAAAACGCAGTATTCTTTTGATTTGATTTGATTTATTATTGCCACATGTACCTAGGTATAGTGAAAAGTTTTGTTTTACGTGCAGTTCAGGCAGATCATATGATACAAAGTGCATTACGGTAACAGAACAGAGCGAAGAATACAATGTTACGGCTGTAGAGAAGGTGCACAAAGAGCAAGATCAACATTAAATTTAAAATTTGAGAGATCCATTCATAGAATCCCTACAGTGTGGAAACAGGCCCTTCGGCCCAACAAGTCCACACTGACCCTCAGCACATCCCACCCAGACCCATCCCCCTATAACCCACCTAATCCACACATCCCTGAACACTATGGGCAATTTAGCATGGCCAATCCACCTAGCCTGCACATTTTTGGACTGTGGGAGGAAACTGGAGCACCTGGAGGAAACCCACACAGACATGGGGAGAACATGCAAACTCCACACAGACAGTGGGTGGAATCGAACCCGGATCCCTGGCGCTGTGAGGCAGCAGTGCTAACCACTGAGCCACCATGCCGCCCCCAAAAAATAGCAGAGCAATACGTGCATTCCCTGACCAGGAAGAGAACTCGGGCCGCGGCGGTGAGAGCGCTGAATCCTAACCACTAGACTGCCAGGGAAGGCGCCAAGTGTGCGTGCATATTTTCTCAATTACAAGTTCTATTTTTCTGCTTTATCTTGCTTAATGCGCTTCGGTGTAACCAGGGACTCTAGATTTGGCAGTATCAATCTCTCTTTGTGTAGAGAGGTCTATACTGTGCCTATAGCACCTCCCTTTTGAATATCTCACACTGGTTTCCCTTCAGTTAGCTATAACATTTGGCCGACTTTTGCCAGATTATCTCTTAAATTCATAAAGTGTACCTTCCTGATAATCCACTTTTGCCTTCCACCAATGCTGCTAAATCCAACCATATCAGGATCACCATCTGTAAAGTGGTCATCCACCACTACTTTATTCACCTACTCAGCTACATTCCCAAAGACTAAATCTCTCATTGCACTGGTTACATGCTGCTTAAAATAGCTGTTTTGAACACAGTTCAGAAATTCTGTGCCCTCTGTGCCTTTCACATTGTTTGTACCCCACATTAAATGTGATTGAGGCCCCCAATTTTTCCTTCAAATGAAACTGTCAACACTGATATTTGACAATTGTTAAGTATGCTCCACTATTTAATACAAACATGGTATTTAGTCACATCATTATTCTAAAGTTAGCTGCAAAGGCCTGAAGACCTAACCAAATGTTACGCTCCACTTATTCCCAATCAGCATAAATGTACAAAAAAAATACTTTGAAACTAATGGAATGATACATTACTTTGAAAGAACATGCTAATTTCCAGATCTAGTGTCTAGGTAGTATGTTTATAAAAGCCTTAAAACCCCACTTGCTTAACATTTGTGGGTTTCTCCTAGATACAAAAAGTGAGTCCCAAATTTCATAATATTTAAGTGATCAGTTTGTGATAACTTGAGTTACTATAAAACAAAAATAAAAATGCTAGAGAAACTCAACAGGCCTGGCAGCATCTGTGGAGAGAAAAACAGAGTTAAATGTTTAGAAGTCAGGTAACATGGAGAAGAAGCTGCTCTTGAATCTATTTCAATGTGTATGCAGACTTTTATGTACTCTGCCCGATGGAAGAGGTTGGAAGAGAGTATAACCAGACTGGAGGAGTCTTTAATTATGCTGGTTGTTTTCCCGAGGCAGTAGGCATTATAATTGGAGTCAGTGGATGGAAGGCTGGTTTTCATGATGGACTGGGCTTTGTTCATGACTCTATAGTTTCTTGTGGTCTTGGGAAGAGTAGTGCCAAACCACACTGTGATTAATTCAGATAGAATGTTTTCTATGCTGTATCAATAAAAATTGGTAAGGTTTCTACAAGGTTTCCAAGTTGTTAGGGCGATTTGGCAACTTGCTTTCTGGAAGTCAATGTCGAGAGACATGCAGAAATAATCTTCCAAGATATGTCTGAACACAAATTGATGCCTGTCTTACAATTCCTCAATGAACTAGACCAAATTGAGAACATGCCACGTAGGGAAATAAGCAAATGAAACAAAAACAGGAATTGCTGGCAAAACTCAGTATTTGTGGGAAGAAAGCAGTGATAGCTTCTCCAGTCCGGTGACTCATCATCAGTTCGTTAACTCCGCTTTCTTCCCATTGATGCTGCCAGACCTGCTGAGGTTTTGCTGGCACTTCCTGTTTTGTTTCAGATTTCCAGCATCCACAGTTCTTAATTTCATACAAGCAACTGAAGGTTTCTTTTTTATTGACTCAGGATGTGATTGATGCTGGCAGGCCTGCATTTTTTGCCCATCCCCAATTTCCATTGAACTGAAAAACTTGCTAGTCCATTTCAGAGGGGAAAAGTCAGAAGTCACATGACACCAGGTTTTGTCCAGGGTAGGCAAAGGATCTAGGCCCGAAACATCAGCCTTCCTGCTGATTTCTGAAGAAGGGTCTCGGCCTTCCTGCTTCTCTGATGCTGCTTGGCCTACTGTGTTCATCCAGCTCTACACCTTGTTATACCAGGTTTTGTCCAACAGGTTTATTTGAAATCACAAGCTTTCGGAACATAGCCCTTTCATCGTGTGACTTCTGACTTTGTCCACCCCAGTCCAACACCGGCACCTCCACGTCATTTCAGAGAGGAGTTCATGGTCAATTACAATGCTGGTGATCTGGCGTCACATGTAAGACAGACCACATTAAGATGGTGGATTTCTTTCCCCAGAGGATGCTATTGAACAAGATGGGTTTTTATAGCAATCATTTGTAGTTTCAGGGTTACAATTACGAGCTTTTCATTGCAGACTTTTTTGCTTATTGAACTTTAATTCTATCAGATGCCATGGTGGAATTTGGACCACATCATCAGAGCATGAGCCTAGGTCTCTGGATTACAAGTTCTGTGACATTATCATTATGCCATATTCTCAGTCATTGCTATACTTCTGTTTATCATTGACTATTATTAGTTGTGGTATTGAATTTTGTTGTTACTTTTGCACAAAATTGATTTACCTTAAGATCAGTGTGAAGACATGCCACCTTTTTGGCTTCAGCAAGAGCCTGAAGTTGTTCATAGTTAACTGGCTTGTACTTCTGACTTCCAAGGCCGTATTTCATTCTTATAACCAGTTTCTCTAGCAGAAAATGATTAAAGCATTAGAAATTTCAATGCAATGTCAGGATTGCTTGTGCAAGGAAAGACGAAGTACAAGAGCAAATAAAAAAAAATTGATTTTGAGTTTGACATCTTACTTCTTCCACAACACTCCAGATGTGATCTTGCCAGGATTTTGTAAAACTTAAGCATAATCTCCCTTCTTACACATTCAATTCCCTTCGCAATAAATTATAACATTCTATTAGCATTCCAAATTACTTGCTGGGCCTACACATTAGCCTTTTGCAGTTCATGCACTTATATTATTTACCTACTATTGCCTCTGGTTCATTTGGCAATAACTTTAAATAGGCATCCTCTGGTTCTTGGCTTTTCCACCATGGGAATGGTTTCACCATCCCTAATCTGTCCAGACCCTCATCATTTTGAACATTTCTATCAAATATTCTCTCAATCTTTTTTCTCTAAGGAGAACAGTCCCACCTTTGCCAATCACTCCACTTAACTCATTCTTGGAATCATTCTCATCATTCTTTTCTGCGACATCAGTATAGCGTTCACATATTTCCTGAAGTGCAGTGCTCAAAACTGATCACATATGAATAGGAAAGGTTTAGAGGGATCTTGGCCAAATACTGGCAATTGGGACTACGTCAGAATGGGATGTCTGGTCAGCATGGACGAGTTGGACTGAAAGATCTGTTTCCCTGCTGTAAAACACTAATGACTCTAAGATCATAATACTCCAGTTGATGCTGAATCTGTCTTTTGTAAAGGTTCATTAGTAGTTCTTTGCATTTGTACTCTATGTTTCTACATATAAAACCCAGGAACTCATATGCTTTTCCAAGCATTGTCTCAACCAGCTGTGCCACATTCAACAATTTGTGCATATGAATATCTCGGTCTCTCTACTCCTCCACCCCTTTTAAATTGCAACCCTTACGTTGCCTATTCTAACTCTTCCTTCCAACATGTGTCACTTTCCACTCCCCTGTACCCTTTCCATCAGTGTTGTCTTCTCAAAATCTATCAATATCCTTGTCAGAGTACACAATATTTCCAAGTTTTGCCATCTGCAAAGTTTGAACACGTACCCAAGTCTAGGTCATTAAAAATAAAATAAAATTTTATTTTGAAATCAAAATTCATAAAATCAGAAATGTTGTAGTTCTAATCCTGATTGCTGGGGAATCCCATTATATTCCTTCCTCCATTTTGAAAAACAAACACTAGGTCTGTCTCCTGTCACTCTAGCAACCTTTTATTCAATGTGCTTGTCAGCAAAGTCGAGCCCATCAACAGCATTGCCTTAATCAAATCTCTATGCTACCTCATCAAAAAAAATTATTCAAATTCGTTAAACACTTTTACACTTACATTCTTCCTGGGATGAGGGAATTATCTTATGAGGAAAGACTGGACAGATTGAGTGTGTATTAAATGAAGTTTATAAGGATAGGAGGTCATCTTATTGAAACACATGATCCTTAGGGAACTTGACAGGATGGATGCCAACAATCTTGTTATGTGAGATACTAAACTTTAAAATAAGGTGTCTCCCCTTAAAATGGAGATGAGAATGAGGTTTTTCTCTCAGAGGGTTATTCATACGTGTAACTGTCTTTATATTTTTAAAGCTGAGTTAGATTACTGATTAATAAGGGAGTGAAAAGTTATAAGGGCTAGATAGGTAACTAGAGTAGATGCCACAGTCAAATAGCCATGATCTTATTGAGTGATGGAGTAGGCTTGAGGGACTGAATGGCGTACTCCTGCTCTTACCTTGTAAGTTCATATGTTTTCTTAATTAACCCATGCTTGTCCAGGTGATTTAATTTCTCCCAAATTACCATTTCTAAAAGCTTTGCCACCAAACAAGATTAATATTGACTAGCCTGTCGTTGCTGGGCTAATTCTTATGCCATTTTTTTGAAGAGTGGTGTCATATCTGCAATTCTGCCCTTTTCAAGCACCACCCTGTATCGAAGGAGGACTGGAAGAGAACAGCCAGTACTTCACAATTTCTAACTTTATTTCCCTCAGTATCCTTGCTACATTTGAGCTGGTCCTAATGATTTATCAGTGTTAACACAGTGTTACGTTAACTCTGATTTTTTTCTTCACAGATGTTGCCAGACCTGCTGAGCTTTTCCAGCAACTTCTGTTTTTGTCCCTGCTTTACAGTATCTGCAGTTCTTTCAGTTTTTATTCAGCCTGTCTAATTTCCTTATTCTAACTAATTTTTGCCCCATCTAGTATTTCAACCATCTCTTTCATTACTGCTTTGGCAGCAGCAGCTTCATCAATAAAGACAGATGCAAACTGCTCATTTAGTACCTTAGTCATGCCCTCTGCCTCCCTGCCAAGGTCCCATTTATGATCCAAAATCAACTTTAATGCTTCTTTTTCAACATGTTTACTATTTTGATTAATATGGCTTATGTTAGTTCCTTGCTGTTCCACTTTTCACAAAATATGCGACTCTACTGTATGGTTGCAAATGTTTTTAAGTGGACATCCTGTTTGATTAACACTATGAATTTTAAATCCATTGGAATGATATTAATTATTATAAAAATTTACAAAATATATAAAATCCTAGAGTCAAAATGGAAAAATAATTAAAAATACTGTATGCGATACACTTAGAATTCAGACTCAAAACTCTTTGCAATGTTGACAATGACATTACACACAATATTGAATTTAGTACAATTTGATTAATAGTTCCAACACTATTATTGACTCTTCAGTTAACATACAAATAGTATAGCAAAAAACAGGACAAGAAAAATAATCCAATGATTACATTTATAAACAACAACTCCAAAGTACTTTTAATTAACAACTGGTCTGAACAATACATTGTAATAATGTACCATCTAATTAATGAAATGTTCTCGTGCAAAATGGTGTTTAAATTATTTGTGCATTTCCTGAATCCAATTTTATCTTCACCAGATAGTAGGAACTGCAGATGCTGGAGAATCTGAGATAACAAGGTGTAGAGCTGGATGAACACAGCAGGCCAAGCAGCAGCAGAGGAGCAGGAAGGCTGATGTTTCGGGCCTAGACCCTTCTTCAGAAATGGGGGAGGGGAAGGGGGTTCTGAAATAAATAGGGAGAGAGGGGGAGGCGGATAGAAGATGGATAGAGGAGAAGATAGGTGGAGAGGAGACAGACAGGTCAAAGAGGCGGGGATGGAGCCAGTAAAGGTGAGTGTAGGTGGGGAGGTAGGGAGGAGATAGGTCAGTCCAGGGAGGACGGACAGGTCAAGGGGGCGGGATGAGGTTAGTCGGTAGGAGATGGGGGTGCGGCTTGAGGTGGGAGGAGGAGATAGGTGGGAGGAAGAACAGGTTAGGGAGGCGGGGATGAGCTGGACTGGTTTTGGGATGCGGTAGGGGGAGGGGAGATTTTGAAGCTTGTGAAGTCCACATTGATACCATTGGGCTGCAGGGTTCCCAAGCAGGATATGAGTTGCTGTTCCTGCAACCTTCGGGTAGCATCGTTGTGGCACTGCAGGATGGACATGTCGTCTGAGGAATGGGAGGGGGAGTTGAAATGGCTCGCGACTGGAAGGTGCAGTTGTTTAGTGCGAACTGAGCGAATGTGTTCTGCAAAGCGGTCCCCAAGCCTCCGCTTGGTTTCCCCAATGTAGAGGAGGCCACAACGGGAACAGCAGATACAGTATACCACATTAGCAGATGTGCAGGTGAACATCTGCTTGATGTGGAAAGTCTTCTTGGGGCTTGGGATAGGGGTGAGGGGGGAGGTGTAGGGGCAGGTGTAGCACTTCCTGCGGTTGCAGGGAAAAGTGCCGGGTGTGGTGGGGCTGGAGGGGAGTGTGGAGCGGACAAGGGAGTCACGGAGAGAGTGGTATTTGTTTTGTGCTAAGTCCGAGTACATAATTGTTAATGTAATGCAAACCTTTCATGAGAAAAAGTAAGTAGCTTACCTTTGGCAATGAGTAATGTGCTGACTTAAAGGATATTGACATTAGAACTGTCAATATTTGTTCATTGTAAACCTGATGCAATAGTTGTCCACCTTAGACTTCTGACGATTCTTTGGCTTTAAGAGGTGTATTTTGCCCTTTTCTTTTAATGAAGAGAGGTCAAGACAGAAGTAGTGAGCGGTCTGCTTCAAGCCAATGAAGTAAACAGGTTGTGAGGCCTTGGGTTTTTTAAAAGGTTGGAACAATAGAAGCAGTGTGAATGGGTGGGGTTAAGCTCCCATCAAACCAGGAATTTACGTCTAGCTTTCAATAGCTGTTGGGGTTGTGATAGTTGCTACATCTCTCTCTCTTTCTCTTTGCTACAATTAGAAGCTTAGGTTCTCTTCCTGCTGCTAGAACTGCATGTGAGACAGTCTATTTCACTGAATTTGCCTTTTTCAAGGGCATGTTTATGGGATGGTACTACATTGGAATTGTTGCTGTTTAGTACTTAAATAATCTATCTTTCTGTTAAGTTTTCCAATAGAGTTAAGTTATTCCGATCTTTTCTTTTGTTTGTAATTTAACTACAGTGTATGAATAAACTGTATTTTGCTTCACGCCTGATAATTTGACCAATTGAATTGCATCTGGATCACAATGGCTGGCACTTGGCATTTTAAATAAGAAAAAAATTAGGGTCTAGGCTATCTCTTTGACATGTTTTGAAGGGGCTTCGTCTGATCCATAAGACTTTAAAACCTGAGCATAAATTGTCTTGTACTTAACCATTCTGGGTTTCATTAATGAAATTGCCACTGATTATTTGCTTGTTCACTAATTTTGTGTCGCCATACACAATCAAAATTATGGTTTCATGATGCCAATGTCAAATTTTATCCTATGTTTTTAACAGGTTGGCTTATAACGTTCAGGCAATTAAGTATTTAATATTTTAATAAATCTAAAACCGATTTCCAAAACATACTTAGAGATTAAGCATTGAAAATTGTTTTGCTAGCTTCTTTTTCTAAACTGTACTTCTTCTCTCCCAATAATACTGATTCATGTCAAATTAATTGGGTACCTTGCGCATGTCATTTTTTTCTTGAGAGACACCAGACAGCAATGGTGACAAATTATTTGGGCACATGACATCACAGCAACGCACAGAATTCAGTATCAGCCACTTAATAAAAATCTAGAGCAAGAACTCTAGCTTACTTCATCCCTGGTCAATGCTAGTTGTAGCAATTCTTATGTTGAGGATCAGCTAGTTCTGAACAAAGTGAAACATTAGGTCTGTATACCTCAGGCTATCTGTACCAACTTGGACATCAGAGTCAGAACTGGGAAAGCAGGAAGATTTTTCTTTTATGAAAATGTTATTTTTGAGCCATGATAGATGGCAAGGGTAGACTACCTAACTGCACTAATGACAATATCAAATTTGGATTGCATGGGTTACCAAAATGAGTAGAGAGTTACTATTAGTAAGATCTATGGTAAAATACCTGCATCATCTGCTCTGTGATTTGTGATGAACGTTCGAAGATCTCTTCCACTCATTCCTCCTAAAGAAAAAGTAGTTTGTATCAGTTTTATACACTTTTTTTTTAAAAATTCAGATAATTGTAAAGGCCACTTATTTTGGATTGTAGACTAAAATGTTGGAAAAGATATTGCTTTAAACCAACCAATTTGTGGAAGAAGTTGCAATTTTTATAAATTACCGGAACTCGTTATGAACTGTATGAACAATGTTGCCTCATTCAAATTGTGAGGGGAGAATTTTAGAAGCATTGACTCCAGGTGTGTGTTCAGGCGGTCTTGCCCAGGGAAAGTCCTTTGCTTGGTTTTTCAATTAACCAGTTGATTATTTCCTGGGCAATTGGCTACAGCCCTGGATGTGAACCACAGAACAGAAACATCCAACCTGTTAAAACCAAAAGCCCTTCAATCTCAAGTGACACAAAAAGCTCCAATGAACTATTCTCACTACTATTTTCCTGTAAATTGCTGTCTTTGCAAGTTGCCCGTTGAAAGAATAAAAGGGGGTGGGGTTGAGGAAACCACCTTCAGAGACACTGAAAGAAGCAAATTCTCAACCGGTGAATAAAATACAGCATCAGTGTGCAAACAACCTCATTTGATCAGCAGAGAATGAAAGAAAGTGGAAGAAACCTAAAGGAAACAACTCATCAACTCCTGTAGTCCAGATTGGTGTTATCAAATTGATTCTCTCTGATTTTTTATTCTTTTTCTATCCCTAGTATTCTTGTCTCTTTATGTTTGCCTGTAAGTGTATTGGCATTCTTTTCTAAAAAAAGGTAGAATTTAAGTTATAGAGTTATAAGTTGCAATTCATGTTTCTTTCTTGCCATTGGTTAAACACAATTTTGATTACAAATAGTGATTCTTTTAGTAGTGATAAAAACCAGTTGTGCATATTCCTATAACCTGAATTACACAGGTACAATTGGACAATTCAAAGTTTTAAACAAGTTTTCACATTTGTGACAAGTCCGGAAATAGGGGAGTCTGATTTCCAGTGCACTACTCCTGTGAGGCATGGCAGAACTAGAGTATGCTCAATATGAAACATTATTCTATAAATTATTGAAGCAACAACTTATTTCACATTTAGAGTTACAATTCAAATTGGAATACATTGTCATTGACCTGAAATGTTGGGTGAGATTTTAAGTTTTTCAGGTTGCTAAATGTTGTCTGCATTTTCTGTTTTTTGTTTCATTTAACACAATCATCTTTATTGTTTCCCAATCTTTAATGATTGTCAATGTAAGTTGAAGCATTAGGGCAGAATCTTAAGGGAATTGAGTGTCAAGAAATGTGGTAGAGTAGGTCTATCTCAACATCAGGAATAACATTCTGCATCCTTTAATTAAGTTCCAGTAAAGGTGAAATCCTCATGAGACAATGGCAAGTTGCCTACTAAGGGGAATTATTGCCTGTTAATGACTTTATTAACTGCAGATCTTGTCCAATTAATATGCAGCTTTCCATCATTCCAGTTGCTATGAATTTTTGTCATGGAAGTCAGAGAAAGTACTTGGCAAATTCAGTTCACTACTTGCTCCGAAGGAACTCCATGTTGAACACCAGGTACCAACATCTCAGGGCACCCCATGTACTACCCTAGACATTGGCATCTGTCATGTGTCAGCCTCTAAAAATCCTAATGAGAGAACTCCAATCCACTTACAGTAAGCTTCTGCACTTTGTTGCTGCACTTCAAGGTTCAATGGAAACTATCATTGTAACGGTCCAGCAAAAACAGTTTGTGTTCAAGGACAAGCAGCCAATCCATGGACTAGACCTGGCTTACTCTCTTCGTGTTCATTCACTTTAAGCTTACTTGGACGCTCCCAGCATCCATGCTTGCTTTCCCATTACTTGCATTTATCTGTCTTGCCCATCAGCCAGAAATACCAAACTGACAGTTCTGCTGTATTGCTGTGCCATTTAGCACAGACATGAAATCAAGAACTTTGTCATGGTTGTCAGCAGATCTCAGCAGTTAGGTCAAACAAGAAAACCTTTGGTCAGGGACTTGGACACGGTCAGTCAGCCACTTAGGGTGGTCAGAGTCAAAATCATCCTCTCATAAGGAATTTGCAGCCAAATGTCAGGCAGCCTAGTACCCGTCTTGATCCACCCTATTGTAGTCTGTTTTCCTGCTGGAATGACTAAAAGGGGCAGATGTTAAGAAAGATGAAAGTGAGTAGCATAGCGGTGTAAGAGATGAGGTTCCCAGGTGTGTCAGTAGGCAGCTAGGGAGGGCATGCTAGGATAGTGCTGTCAGGGGATGTGAATGACAGCAAGTGAGAGATGATATTATAGGCAATAGTGAGAACAGTACAGCATGAGCCTCGGTGGGAGATGGGTACAGTAGCCGAGATAAAGTGAGTGTGAATTTTTGGATAGAAAATTGTAGTACCTACACTGATGGCGTGAAGGCCACTGACCATTTTTTTACAGTTGTGTGCATTCCTCCTAAGACTGCACTGGCCTGAATGGCAACCTCAGACCAAGCTGGCATGGTGGTGTAATGGCTCTACTGTTGTTCCTGGCACCATCCTGTTCAATAGGTCATCCAGGTCTTCGCATGCAAAACAGGACACTAAATTTCCTTCTCTGCCACGTCTGGAACTAATGTCAGTAAATGTGAATGGCAGTCCTGAACAGACATAGCCTGTCAGGGTGCACAATGGCCTTTTAAAGATGGCATTAGGGTTGCTGGTCCATTTCTACAAATATGAATTGTTTCAGGTACAACAAGTGGTAAAATAGGGCTAGAATCAGATTAGAAGGACATAATTGGAGTGGAGTAGGTGGTTAGTGAGGGATGTTTTATAAGATGCGGCAAGAAGCCTCATTGGCCTTGCGGAGAGAAACTCTTCACAAAACTCAGTGAAACTGACACTTAGCCAAAAAAATAGAAAATTCAATCCTATAAATGAGTTTTAGTACTTTTACTGTTCATATTACCAAAAAAATGATAATAGAAAATTTCTTGTAATCTGAAAACTTTTAGTTATAATGCTAACATACAGCTAATTGATAAATCTGTTTTGGCATATGAGTTTTAAAAAGACTTTGGAAAAGAATCAGAACAAAATAACTTGGTTCAATGGTCTTACCCATTATAATGTTGTGACTCTAAGATGTCTGCATACTATATTGTTGTGATTCAGAAACCTTGAGAAAGTTCATTGCCACAAATTTTTGTATTGGCATTAATCTCAGCTACAAGTACCAAGTGATGATGGCTGGCCACATGATGTCTTTGGTAGAAGATAACTTGATCTTGGTGAAAAGTAAATAGTTTTATTACATCTGAGATATCGGATGTCTTTTATAAGACATTGGGCTCAACATAAAAGTGCACATTACCGTTAGCTCCATTGACTTAGCATCAGAACAACAACTTTGAAAGACTGTACAAACACTGGTAAAGACTCACAGTTCCTCCAAAGAGCAGTCATAGCAACATACAGCATGGAAACAGACCCTTTGGTTCAACTCGTCCATGCCCACCAGATATCTTAAATAAATCTACTCCCATTTGCCAGCATTTGGCTCATATCCATTTACATCCTTCCTATTCATATACACATCCAGATGCCTTTTTGACCCCTTAATTGTGCCAGCCTCCGCCACCTCCTCTGGCAGCTCATTCCATCACCCTCTGCATGAAAAAGTTCCCCCTTAGGTCCCTTTTAAATCTTTCCCCTGTCACCTTGCCCTGCCTTCGAGTTTTGGACTCCCCTACTCTGGGGAAAAGACTTTGACTATTCACCTTATCCATGCCCTTCATGATTTTATAAACTTCTATAAGGTCACCCAACCTCAGACGCTCCAGGGAAAGTAGCCCTACCCTATTCAGCCTCTCCGTTTAGCTCAAACCCTCTAACCCTGGCAACATCCTTGTGAATCTTTTCTGCGCCCTTTCAAGTTTCACAATATCTTTCCTCTAGCAGAAAGACCAGAACTGAAGCCAGTTTTCCAAAAGTGGCCTTACTAATGTCCTTCCTATCTTGATTGGCAAAGCCTAGCATGATGTGTTAACCCTTTCAAGTGCTAGCTATGTTATAAAACGTTATTCAGTGAATAAGTGAATCTTATAGCCCAAAAACGTCTCCAGTTCAATCTCTGGTCTCCACTGAGATAACAGCTACAATGTTCTTAAAAACAACTTGCATTAATATAGTTCCTTTAATGTAGCAAATTGTTCAATGGTGTTTTACAGTTAAGTACAACAGACTAAACATTTGGTCAAAGATGGAGAGTTAAACAAGTGTCTCAAAGGAAATGAGAGATGGACAGATAGAGAAATAGAAATTCTTAATTTAGGGCTCAGATCACTAAAAGAACATTCTTCAATGATAGCATGAAGAAAAGGAGGATACACAAGAAGCTAGTGTTGTAGGAAGGAAGAGCACCTAGACTGTTGTAGAGGTGGAGGAGGTTTCAAAGACAGGCAACGGAACGGCCATGAAGGGATTGGAACACAAGAATGACAATTTTAACATAGATGTTTTGGTAAACTGGGAGCCAGCAACCATAAATTGTGACAAATCAATAAGGCATGATGCAACAGTGTTTTGGATGAGGAGCAGTCCATGGGGTGTGAAGGATGGACAGTCAGCCAGGATTGCATTGCAATGTTTGAGCTCTGAGGTGACATACACTTGGAAAGGCTTTTCGGAGCAAATGGAGAGCTCAAAATGAGTGATGTTACAAAAACAGGAGTGACTCTTTCAGGAGATAATTATGGGTTTAGAAGATCCAGACAGCATCAAACAAAACACCAAGATGCAAACAGTCTGTTTTAGCTTAAGGAAGGGGTATGAAATCAATGGTTAGGAAGAAGCATAGCAAAATGGGGGATATTAAAGAGCATTTAACATAATTTTTATCTATATTCACGTGTCATGCTCTAGATTTACTAGGTTCGTACTTGTTCTGTTCCAGTCTTTCAGTTACAATAAGCAAAGACAGAAGAATAGCAAGTATGACGATGTGTTAAGACATTAAGTGACCAAGAAAC